ACTGATGTCATATAATTGCCGACTGCTAAAGGGCATGCAACGTGGCTCAATCTGTAATGATGTGTCTGCTTGTAGGTCTGACAGAGTATCGTCCCTTTCTTGTTCGTCAACTAGTGTGTCAAAATTCAATGGTGGTTTAGCATATGTATTGATGATATTCGCACATGAAAGGGTATCAGCAACAGTATTATCGTTCCCTTGTATCTAGGGAATATCCATCGTGAATTGGGAAATATAGTCTAGCTGTCGGTAATTACGAGGGTTATACTTGTCACTCTTAGCATGTGAAGTGTAAATAAGAGGTTTGTACTCTCTAAAAACGGTAAAATTGTGTCCTTCCAAAAGATAACAAGTGTTTCATAGCTGTATAAATAGCTAGTAGCTCACATGAAAAAGTGCTGTACTTTTTGCGGGGAGGAGTAAGTTTTACAGAGAAAAATGAAAGTGGCTTAATTACCTCGCCTGTATGTTGATGTAATACAGCTCCAATTGCTTCTGAAGAAACGTCGGTAGTAAAAGATAAATGTGTGTTATTGTCGTCTTGAAGAAAGTAAGTTTAGTAAAGTTCGCTAAAGCATCCTTAGCTTGATTGAATGCAGTGAGTGATTCACCGTTGAGTGTAATTTTGGTGTTACGTTTCCCTTGGTTACGGAGTTGATTTGTTAGGGGTGCCAGTATGTGTGAACATTTAGGGATGAACTGATGATAATAACTGATTAATCCTAATAATCTGCAAAGCTGTCGAAGTGTTATCGGCAGTGGAAAATCTTGTACTGCTTTTACTTTATTGGCGACAGAGGTGTAATGCCAGTACATCTATCTCATGTCCAAGAAAAACTAGCTTACTGTGAATACACATTTATCAGGGTTAATCTTAAGACCAAAGTGGTTGAGTTGCTCGGAAACTTGAGTTACATGATCTATGTGTTCATTCATGTCTTTGCTAGCTATGAACAGGCCATCAATGTAGGCAAACGAATGTGGTAATCCACGAAGGGCTTCATCTATTAGCCGCTGGAAAGATTGTGCGGCGTTCCGTAGTCCAAACAGCCTTTGTAAAAACTCGTATAAACCGAAAGGTGTTGTTATTGCAGTTTTATGAAGGTCTTCCATAGCCACCGGAATTTGACAAAATGCCTTCCGTAGATCCAGTTTCGTAAATATCTGAGCACCTTGAAGCGTTACTGCAAAATCTGCTAGGTTTGGTACAGGATATTTATCTGGCACAGTCTGTGCGTTAAGACGTCAAAAATCTCCACAAAGTCTCCATGCCCCCGATTGTGTCTTAGGTACCATATGGAGTGGGGAAGTGAAAGGACTGGATGATGCTGAGGTCTAACGTGTGCTGAAATTCAACCTTCGCTAATTTGTACTTATCCAAGCTTAATCTGCGAGGAGATGAAAAAACAGGAGTTCCTGAAGTTTGAATCCTATGTACAGTGTTGTGCTTGATGGACTCCACATAAGTAAAAGGTGTTTTCAGCACCGGGAATTTATCTAAGACATGCTGTAGCGGGTTGTTTTCTGGGAGTGTGGTGCAGATCTTAGTGAACGTATATGTGGAAATCATCCCTGTAAGTGTTAGTTGCATCGTCTGGTCTATTAGGGTATGATTAGACATGTTCATAGTGAGCTTGTAGCGGGCTAAGAAGTCAGCTCCGAGGATAAGAAATTTCACCTGTGCTACAGTGAACAACCACGGAAATGATTGTCTTAAACTGATGTTAAGTGCGAGAGAGATTTGACCATACATCTCAATCTTGGTACTGTTTCCTGCACGCAAGGTATATGTTGATTTGCCAGTTGTAGTGTTAGCTCTGAGTGGGATTACACTGACCTGAGCTCTGGTATCCACCAAAAATAACTTACTTATCCTTAACAAAAAAAAAGATGGTTAGTTCGATTTACCCCAACAGCAGACGCCACCTTCATGCACTGTTGGGGACGCCTTTTCCCCACTTGTTTTTTAGTAGTAGGTGTTGATCGACTATTGAAATGGCAAGGCAAATGTCTCACTGCTTGTCCAAACTTTTGGTGGTACCAGCAAATACCAGTGTTTGGTTGACTCCTTTCAGACATCATGTCATATTTCCTTTTTTTTCTTCTTCATCTCTTTTGTAAACAAATAGATTTCACATTTATTTCCTAAAACTAGTTAATTAAATGTTTTAACATATTTTTGTTCAATCTTTTTCTCTTACATTGGTATAAATGTTGATAAAATTTAATTTTATTAACATCTGAAAGTCTTTTTCAGTAGTGTTTTTTTGAATATAGTCACTCAGTAGTGAGCACTTAAAAACTGAATGATTTTGGTTTTGTAAAAAAAATTGATGCAGTTTAACGGTGTGAAGATCAAACCGAAAAAGGCCAGTTTTTCAGTTAAACCGCCCATGTCTACTAGACATATTCAACCTTTACAGTGAGGCAATCCTGAGACAATGAGAAGTTCTATCAGGATTCATTATTTGTAACCACAATCTTAACAACATATGCAGATTACACAACATATGATTTTCAGCAAAAGCAACAGTTCAATATGTAAATTACAAATTGGAGACACCAAAATCAATCAAATACAAAAATTTAAATATCTAGGAAGTGTTTTTTAATAGAGGACAGAAAATGTGACACTGAAATCTGAAGGCACATTGGAATAGCTAAAGATGCATTCCAAAAGCTGAGCAAAATATTAAAAAACAGGAAAATTTTGTTAGAAACAAAGAAAAGAGTACTGAACTGTTATATAATATTGATCCACCTACATGGCGGTGAATGCTGGACAATCTAATCATAGCTGAAGAAGAGACTTGAGGCAACAAAAATGTAGTGCTACAGAAAGATGCTGAGAATACCATGGACTGAACATGTGAACACCAACAAAGTGTTAGAGAAAATGAAAACAAAAAAGGCATACTTAGCATCAGAAAAAGAAAATCGAAATTTCTAGGGTACATGAGGAAAGAGGGCTTAGAAAATTTGACACTCACTGGACATATTGAAAGCAAGGAAGACAGGGGAAAGTAGTGTATTACCTGCCTAACAAGATTAGGAGAGATAGTAAAAAGACAAACTTTACTAAGAGCTACAAAGGACAGGAAATTGTGGAGTCATGATCACAACTACATATGTGTCATATTATACCATTACATATTATTCCACTACCCATAGCTGTTTGAGGTTTCCTATAGCCCCACTGAACTTAAATAAAGTCAATTCAGGTTTGCTATGGTAAAAATTTTCTTTCCCAAGTAAAAATCATCACAAAAATGGCAAAAGTCATTTTGTCACAGCTTATTTTCTCTGAAAAATTGGATTTTCATACTTTTATAGGGGGTAAAATATTGAAAAATGACTGTTTTATCATCATCTAAACTAATATCAAGGAAACTTTTGATCTGAACCCCATGAAACTAGGTATTTTCTGAAAGCAAAGGATATATCCTTTCATTTAAAAGTAAAATTGGCTAGTGTAAATGACTCAATTTTTTTTTTCAGGTGGTAAAATGTGAAAAAATAGTGAAAATTTTGCATTTTTTCTAGTTCTAAACAAAAATTTTCCCCATTAATGGGAAATTAACCATTTTTTTGGAAAATCAGAAAGACTAAATCTTAATCAAACTATTTCAGGCATAAAATTGAGAGCTTTGAAGGAAATCAACATTCCTATAGGGTCAAAATGCAACAAAGTCCATTGGTAATTTTCAATTATATGACTGCTAAGGGTTAAAAAGATTGACACCTGGCCATGGAAATCTTTAGTAAAAGGCAAAAGATTTATCTGCAATTCCTGACCACCAGAAACCAAAAGTTTGTTTTTTTTTCAAAAAATAGCAGCAATAAGGAAAATTGACATCTCTGGGTCAAAGGTCAGCCAGCCTAAAGTTTTAGAACAAGTTGTAATAAAACCCATCACTCCCAGATAAGAGCAAAGAGTGAAAAAAAAGGGTTAACATTACTAGGGCTTGATATAACCTATGTTTGAACAATGACTTGATGTGTTTTGTTTTGTTTTTAACACCCTGTGACCCAAGTGATGACAAATTCAATGATGATAACATCAAATGAAAGAGAAAAATGAAGTTTGAATGATATTATTTTGAAGTGAAAATAAATATTTTTTCATAAAAAAAACGGTGATTTTTCTCAGAAAATTAGGCATAATTTCTTAATGCTAACCGCCGAGTGACATTTTCCACAGCCAAATCGAAGATTAATTACCAGTGAATAATTCCATGTGCAAACAATAGCCATCTGGATTGTATAACATCGCCTGAAAAGGTCCAGAAGTTTACTGATTGATCGAAAACTTGTGCATAATTGTATTTTTCACGGTCAGTTTCCATTATTTCATCTTGATATTATCATTTTCGGACAGCCAAGTCATCAAGGATTCAGGAAAACAGTTTGGCATAGGTTTGCTTTAAGAACTTTATATTCTATGAGGTGTTTAAAATGTTACTAACGAATGAGATTTTTCGCTGAATATTTCGTTTATGCGCCATGTTGGATTTTCCTATATGACAAAAACAAGGCTTTTAAACAGCCATGTACCATCTTTGAGGCTTTCATTATTCTATCCTTCTAAAACTTGGCATCTTTGTGGGTGATGAACAGCCTTATACAGGCACCTGTTGTATTTGGTAGTGTTACCAGAATTTTAATCAGAACCCTATATTCAATCCATAGAGGGTAAACTTCTCATTTTAAATTCAATGCATGAGAATTCTCAGTTAATTCATCCTTGTGATGTTTCTGTTCATTCCATTGAACCAATTATATAGATTTCTCTACTTAACACAAAGATTGAACATGTAAACTATAGGTAAAATGAATACACTTAACCAATATTTACCTCTACTGAGTCAAATAGAAAAAGAGAAAACGTTTTAAATTTGCTATTCACCGAGTGAATTACAGAAATGTAGCCAATAACCAAATATCTTAGTTTAAAAAAAAAAAAAAAAAAAAAAAAAAAAAAGAAATTTCTTTTTACTTACACTGATAAGATAAACTCCTTGGCAGTGGAAACCTGCACAAGATTTGTCAGCATCACAATGTACACTGACTGTGTTATCAGGTGGTGATGATTTTGCAAAGGATTTTGCAATTTCACAGGTCTTGTTCTCATCAGATGTGACAAAGTTCAACACACTTAAACCAAACACTGAAAATAAGATATTATAGTTTAAGTAGAATTAAAAAGGAATTTGCTTACATATTTAAAACAAATTAAAAATCTATTATGATTATATTTACATTTTCATTCTGTTCTTGTTTCCTAAAAAACATTTGAACATACAGTCATATAGTTCTTATTCTCACTTTTCAAAATGGTATGAAAAACTACCAGCAATAAAAAGTCTGAAACTCATTCACCAAAATTTATTATTTTGTAACCAATCATCAATTTCCTACTAACAAGGTAATTGCAGAGTTAGAATCTCATTAATAATATCAAATGTGTTATGCCCCATTCAATTAGATGTTCAGTTTATTTACAAACTTATAAATATAATACCCTTATTTTTAACTAGTGTTATCATTGGAAATATGATCTCAGCATCAGTCAGTACTTAAAACAATGCATACCAAATTTCACTCTACAATTTCTTTGTTTAACAAAGATATAAGTAAAACCCAAGGAGCCACTGATCACTCAAAGATAAACCTCTGAATTTTTCAATATAAGAACCTTTTTGCACCTGCACATATCCACCTAATTAGTTTAGAGCATTTATAATATTTAAAGACTGACTGCTTACAAACACAATTATTTAATCCTATTAAAAGAATTATATTGAAATATTTTGTTCACTATTTCTCAGTTAAAATAATCTGCCTTACTGCAAAAAGTAATTTTACCTAATGTTTGTACCCTTTCTATTTTCTCTGGTATTCATTTCTAGTTTGCAATACTACATCTATTGAGCTCATTTTACTACTGAACTTAAAGTTCCCTTCTATTTCAAATATTTAATTTTAATTGGAGTCAGAACAATATAAATTTTTTGTATATCAAGTGTTAAATTTGATATCTCTTGATTCTATAGTAATAAAGATTTACATTCAGAGATTAACCTTATTATCATAGATATGGAAATAAAACAGATGTATGAATACAAATGTTTCAGAAAATCAATCTTAAGTTTACACAAATAGTCTATCAAGTTATCATACTATCATTAAATAATTATGTAGGCACTTGATGTTAAGCTTATTTGTCAAACTCTTGCTGGCATAGAGTTTCCTTTTCAGTGTGCCCAACTAAACTAAGCTTAGTAAGCATCTATTAAATATGATATATAAAAACTAAGTTCTGGATTTCATGTAAATACAGGTTTTAAATAAAGAGTTGGATACAATGTGGAGGATTTGCCAGGTGTATTCTTAGTGTTTATTTATTAGAATTTTGGAAATAAAACATACCAATTCAAAAGTATAAAATAAATCTCTATCTATAAAAGGCAGGATATGTGTGTGTGTGTGTGTGTGTGTGTGTGTGTGTGTGTGTGTGTGTGTGTAACGAATCCACGGCCGCAATTTTCAATGGATTTGCACTAAAATTTACATGCACATGCTCCAAGTTAGCGGGAAGGCCAAGACCGACTTTGCATTTCCCAACTCCCATCGATAGTGGAAATAATTTTTTCATGCTTCTACGGCAGTTTTCATGTAGTTTGCGGCCATTTTGTACTGGCCAGAGTGAGAGCCAATAGCTAGCTGCCACGAATAGGCAGGAAGATTCTATTGGCCAGCATGAGAGCCAACAGTCCCTTTGTGTTAATTTTTTGATTGGCCAAAAATATTTTATTTTCCAGTGTTCCTTTCTTGTTCATTTTTTTATATATATATATATATATATATATATATATATATATATATATATATATCAGAAATTATGTATGGAGCCTGTCTTATTTTGGTAGAATTATAGTCATAACTAAGTACACTTGTCCTGCAAACTTCCAGCATTTTTTGACCGATTTCAGTCTTTTCTTCTTCTTCCTCTTTTTATTTGAGGGTTGCCTTGTTAGTTGAGAGAGAAGTATATAGAGAGGAAAGACAGAGAGAAAAAAGAGATAAGAGTTTTAAAAGCAAGTGCAAATGTCTTATTTTAATTTGGATTCTTTCTTTTGTTGTTTATATATATTATTTTTATAGTTTATTTTATTTTTATCAGGACTCACTACAACATCTTGTTTGCTGAACTTCAAATTACTAGTAGGAAATTCAAACTGTACATTTTTTTACAGATAAAAATCAATGAACAAGTTTGAGTTATTAGTTATACACAAAACATCATTTTAACATTTTTAGGACCTTAAATAAGCATATTAAAAAATTCAAAAATAATAATGAATTTTTAATTAGTCAAGAGTAAAAATATATTAGGTATAATTTCATTATTTCCAAATTTCACATTTCTTTCAATGCACAAATGACTTTGATTATTCTAAGTAATTAATAAAATGTTATAAATATTCAGAATTATGTGATGTTGCAGCTGTTATAAAAAGACCGACCAACAAATATGAAACTAGTTATACAAAGGGAGAATTATCTACTGCATTGTGCTAGACAAATATTTTATCCAATATTTGAACATTAATTTTTACTTTAGAAAAGTGAGACAAACTAAGTTTTTCTATTTGCAATACTAAAATTACAATGTCTGTCATGTTAAACTAAGTCATTTACTTATAGTAAATAAAACATAAACCAGACTTCAGTTACCTAAACAGGTAGAAAAAAAACTAATGAATTTATAACAAGTTGAGGCTGACATTGATAATTTCATTAATATATTAAAAAAATTGCACACACACACATATATATATATGTGTGTGTGCAATTTTTTATATATATATATATATATATATATATATATATATATACTGCCACTGAATTTTCAATATCTAAGGTTTAAAATGAATTTTTAGAAATGAAAAGCATTTTTCAAGGTTTTATTTTAACTTTAATTGAAAGCTAAATGATTAAATTTATTATTTCCAGTAAGTAATATTCTGGTGTATTTCAGATAGATTAGAATGTCAAATATTTGCTTGATTTTTTAAATTTTCCTAATTTTAAGAAATTTGTAAACAAAACAAAATTATCGGTTTTAAAAATCTTCACAAAATAAAATATTTCTTAGAAAATTTAATGATAAATTAATCTGATTTGAAATAAATATTACTTACTTATAGCACAAGTAATATACTAACATTTTTAACGATGAGTCTTATTTTTCTTCAATCTTTATTGACGTATCGACAAGTTCTGAGGTGATGACAGCTTGTATGGATGATCAGAACTGATATAAATTTATGAAATCTAAGTGAACACATATTTTTTCCAGTTTTTAAGTACCTAGTAATTTTAACAAATTAACATTTGGCAATTATTTAATATCTTATTGACTTTTAGTTAGGTTTCAAGATACTTTATGAAATTTGTGTTTCATCTCTAGGCTCTTAAATTTACTAACTTAAACAAAAAATTACTTAATTGAAGTATGACCCAAACTAAAATAAATACATAAAATAAAAATATTTAGTAAATAGTAATTAACAAAAGTAAAACTTACTTTGAAATTTCATGATTTGCAAAGATATTAATGATGAAACAGAACCGAGTAAGGATAGTGAAAAAATTGCAGTGCAACACTTAAATCGCACTACCTTTTTAAGGATTATGTCATGCTTCCCATGGGTAGAAATTGGAAATGTTTATACACTAAAAATTATTTTTTAAATTTTTTAAAAAAATATATTGACTAAAATGATCGTTATGAGCTTTTCACTTTTTGATTTGTAAATGTGCTTTTCACTTAACAATATTACCAAACTGTTGCCTTGAAAGCAATGAAGAATTTTAAATGATTTTTAAATATTATAAATTATTTAATTAAAGTTTTTAAAAAAAAATCGAAACAATTCTTGTAAAAATTAATTATTCATCAAAAAAAAATTTTCTTAAGATAGTAGCATCCTTAATGAATCTTATTTATCAAAGCAATTAAAAGCTTTTCTAATTAAATATCATAGTTTTATTGCATTTTTTATTTTACAATTCTGAGCAGATATTCGGTGAAAGGACTAACTGTTTTACAAAAAAGACTGATGATTTACTTTCTCCAAAGAGTCCTGCTTTTAACTAATAAAAAATCCCCACCTTAAAAATTTAATTTCTTGAAATACATATGTTATAGTGGAATACACCTATGCTATAGTTAATAGACTCTCCCATCTATAATAAGTAGGAGTAGTAAGAGTAACGTGTCAGTCAGTCGATGCCAGACGACCGTTAGTCGAATACTAAAGTATCAGCGCCCACAACTAGATTACTCAGCGTTATACCTATTATATCAAGTTCCTAACATTTTGTACGTCGAACCTATTTTAGGACCGACTTAGTACAAATACAAGCCTCCACTGTGAAATCACTCCACAACAACATATGTAAAAAAAATATTTTTTACCAAGATTTTCTAAATATATAAATATATCCTGAAATTTTCATTAAAATCCGACAATTATTTGATTTTTGCAAGAATTTCTAAATTAATGTGTGTTTCACTGGAAAAAAGTGCAAAAAACCTTTTATCATTAGTTCAGCTGTAAACAAACTTTGCTTTTATTGAGTTTGGGGCCTTTTTTCATAAATCATCTTTCCACTAGTGATAAGATGTGAAATGATGAACAAATAAAACTGTTTAGCCATGCAATTCAAATTAAAACTATAATTAAGTTTCAATTCCCCTCCACACACACACACACACACAAGTGAAAAAATTGAAGTCAAAAATCTGTTTTGTTTAATGAAAAGGTAAATTAAAAAAAATTAGAATTTGTCTAAAACCTTAACTTTAGAAAAGCCTTAGAAATACTAGTTGATATTTGGTTAACTGAATTTTACATGAAAATGTATTTTTCTCAAGTTGTTTGCTTTACATTGTTCAAATATGACATTCATCTTGTTTGGAGATGAATAAAAAAGACAATAAAAAAACAAAATGGATGAGTTTTCCAAAATAAAAAACATTACCCTCAGTGTTCTGTTCTGTTATCACAGTACAAACCTATTGCTTTACTGCTTCTTTGTTACATTAAAAAGGACTTCATTAATGAATGAATTGTGTACTGAATATGTTATTAGAAAACT